TATATATTTATATATATTTATATATATTTATATATTTATATTTATATTTATATGTATATATACACCCAAGTGTAACTAAACTAGTTCAAGTTGAACTAAGTTAAGCTAAACTAAAGTGAACTAAGCTAAACTAAACTAAACATGAATGTGAAACGCGAATGACGATCAACTAAACGCTAAACATAAATATGGTGACACAAAGAAGAGAAAGAGAGAGAGAGAGAGAGAGAGAGAGAGAGAGAGAGAGAGAGAGAGAGAGAGAGAGAGAGANAGAGAGAGAGAGAGAGAGAGAGAGATAAAGAGACAGAGAATTGTAAAAAATGATAGGTATTTTTTGGATGAGGGCAACTTACAATCGTCGCTTCATATTAGATATTTTCTTTTGATGATGCAAAAACGCAAAGTGCAAAAAGTGTGCGGCAAGAAAATCATAAGTCACATAGTAAATACGTGAGTAGTAATAAGAGGTAATAAACGGCGGTACAATAATAATGGCAGCAATCGGAGTAAGTCATTGTTTTCGCAGAACGGTATATATAATAATATATATATACAATGTTGTAGAGAATGTAGTGCGTAGGGTAATCCAATAAATACCATCGAGAGAGAAAAAAAAGTCCGGTACCTGTACCTGTACAGACCAATGCACAGCATTCCGTACGACCTTAATGCTGCGACAAAGAGGTCACCGTACTTGCCTCCCTCGCCATATTGAGCCAATGGCCCGTCGTACAACGCGATCTGACCAACGCGACACCGATCTCTGTTGGCCAAACTGTCCGCCGTACTACAAACGAAATATACGTCGCGTTAATTAGAGACACTTCTCGGCCTGTTAAAAAATTCCAGGTGGATGCGTGAAAATCTATATAGAAATCTACATAGTGTGAAAATTCATATATACGGAAATAAATGCCGTTAAATCAATAGAATTTCGTATATCAACGTAGAGAATAACGTAAGTGGAATCAATTTCTTGATTCGATCAGCGGTGTCACTGAAATTAATATTTTAATTATTCAAACAATACATAACACACTATTATTAATGATATTTGCTATTAAATTAGAAAGATTCAATTATGCTGCTGTTAGAAATTTGATTAATTCAACGGTATTTTTTTCTGTATAGAAATTCACACAAATCATCTCCTTACCTAGGAGCTGGATTTTGGCGCAAGAAAGAACCGTAGGATTCCATATGGATTTCCTACATGAATTCCCACTTGTTTTTTTCTCAACAGGAAAACGATCGAAAATCGAGAATACCGATTCTTCTATATGAAAAACAGCTCGTATAACACCGATTTTTTTTGCTATCTGAGGACCAATGAAACAATTTGATTGTGAAAACAGAAAGATTTTCCTGAGATATTTCTATTCAATCACTGTCCGTAGTTATCTCAAGCGAATTTCAACGCAGCCGAATGTTTAGACGAATTTTCCAAAGTTATTATATCTCTTCTTCAATGAGTTTTCGTCTGGTCCCCATTCTGTCACACGAACTGAAATGTTGTTTTCTACGGGATTTTGTTTTCTACGTTTTTATGAGACTAACCTGTAACCTCCTCTTAAGCCTGCCCCTTCAGCCAGGATCAATTCCAATTCGGGAGTGGCTCCACCGGTGATCAGTGACCGGATCAGGGTCAGCGCGTTTTGGTTGAAATATGTCTGCGGAGTAGTCGAAGCTGTCGTTATTTTCTTTTCGTTACATATACTTTGACATCATGTTCGCTTTGGAAAGCGAAAAACTGGGCGGACTTGTTGCAAATAAACTCAATCTCGAAGAAAGCATGGTCAATGCCAGAACGAATTCTCGAATACTCACCGTCGACATGAGGGAGTCTAATACGCTGACTGCGAAGGCAGTGCCACAGGCAAACGGTTGTGTGAGGTAGAGCTCCGTGTCCGGGTCATCGTCGTCGTCCTGGTCAAGGAACTGCACGTTGCTGTCGTTTACGAGTTCTAAAACAGCGATGAACAGAAACAATGCCGTCGAAACTTGAGCGTTTTATTATTACATAGTAAAAAATTTATTTTATCACGGGTGTTAAAAAGTATATAATATTACATTGTCAATATATATTAATAGTGTAAATAGATTAATTTAACATTATGTTTGTGTACTTTTTAATATTAATTTAACATTATATTGTGTACATATTCCCCATGTTAAAATAGCATATAATTTCATGTTTGGCTGTTTTTAACAAAATTTTTTATCAGGTAGGAAGGTAGTAAGTTTCTTGAAATGTTTTCAAAATTGCAATTTCCTTCTTTAATATCCTTATTTTTAACAATTTTCAACATTAATTATTGAGTCAATCGATATTATCAATAATTAATTAATTGAATATTATAATGAACAGAATGATACACGCGTGTGTAAGGATAATCCTGTAATGTTATTTTATGAGATATATTTGCATCGACTTGGAAGATTTTTACCTGTAATCATTGGCACATTCGCTCCATAAACGGATCCTCGCCGCTGCAAGACGATCGGGCTGCCAACTGCGGTGAAATTATCTCGTTGAAATTATTCGCTGTGGTATGCATGCTCAGCTTAACGACATGTCATTACAAACGAGAAACGTAAAATCTCGTAGACTACAAGAACGTGTTTTTGTTTACGCTTACCTTGGCTAAGCACGCCGATCGTGTCGTCGAAAGTCATGGCCTTGATATTAAGGGATGCGAGAATGGCCTCCTTGTCGGCGAGGGTGGGGTCATCATTGCTAGGCACTTTTGCCGACAGGATGCAACACATGTCGCACAGATTCACATTAACGGCACGCAGATCGGCTCTACTCAATGGTGAACCCTACGGAAAATCACCCTTGCATTATCTCGTCTGCAATTTGCTCGCAAAGGAAATCAAAACGTTATAAAAAGACAAAGGTCGCAAGTAAATTCATCATTTCGCGTCATATTTTCGTTAATGTTGCCGTAAGTTTCCGGCCCCATTCTGTTCCTTCGGGATTTGTATATATTGTTACACATAGAAAAATAAGTAAACAATTCAAGATAAATTTTTCGAACTTATTGCGGGATATGTGTAAACCAAAAGAGCCAATTTATTATATAATCGGGTGTGAAAACCTCTATAATGATTCGGATTGACCAGAATGTACGATCAATTAAAGTACCAAATATGAAGAAAAGATAAAATTCGCGCGACCGAGATGTTGGAGCGACTCGATTATACGAGAGTAGTTCCTCACATTTAGAACCGATATCTTCGGTAGATTCTGCAGCATCTTCCACTCGCGGCGTATGTAGTCCACCGACCCAACTATCACTACGTGTTTAAGCTCGTGGTAATGAAAATTGGAAGCTCGTAATGGCATGACAAGGTTTCTCAGTCCGATGAGGGGTGAGTCGGGATCGGCGAACAGGCAGACGACCACGTGCCCGTTTAGGACTGTCATCGCCGCCTGATTACGATCCAGTATGCAGTCTTCGAGGTTGCGAGAGGGACTCCAGTGGAACATCCCCGTCGAGTCGTACTTCATCTCGGTCTTCTCAAAGTCGAAATCCTTCGCTTGATCGTCAGCGATCCCGACCTGAAGACCGCCGTTGTTGTTGACGTTTGTGCCACCCGAGGCTCGGCTCGTTGGCCTGGAAAAATCGTCGTAACGTGACCATCTGGATACGATCTCTCGTATAATAATCATTTGTGTGAATGAATTTACGGATGTAAAACGTCCCAGAGGAACGATAACGATACGATTTAAGTAACATTTATCGTCGTAACAAAATCAATGTACACGTTATCTTAAAGGAGAATCACACACGGAATTTCCTTTTTCCCTAAGCTCTCGTTGAATCAACATAGAACAAGCCACACCTTCGCATGCATCTCATATATACATACATCGTTTTCTGTTATCTAGCACTACTGGTGTATGTTATTTAACGTCTCACTGAGGAAGGCCTAGAAATGTCTGTTGTCGATTTTGACCAGTCTTGGATATATCATTACAGAAGAGCTAAAAATAAGAGACACGTCATTTTTTTTATACAGACTATCCTATTCCAATGGGATATCGTGAAAACGAAGCAATTAATGATTCGGACAAAAGTTGTACGGTTAGAGGGAGACATAAGTTGAGATCGCCAACTTATGTCCACATCCAAACATTACAACTTCTGAACCATCTTTTGTCAATTGCTTCGTTCTCAAGATATTCCATAGTTTCCATTCAAATGGGATATCCTATGCATGGAATTAACTTCGACGGTTTGTTTCCAAACGTATGAGAAGAAGTTTAGGAAAAATACGCGCCCCTTACTTTTCATTTCTCTACGATATATCTCGTCAAAATCAGCGACTTTTGGATATACCCTTCTCAGAGCGAATTGGCGTACAAGTTGGGTGGCGAATTATTCGATTTAGCAGCAGCGAGTATCAAAGAAAAATACAGAAGATACATTCGTAGATATTAAGCTATTCTATATACTACATGCAAGTAAAAACGGTGCCGGTGTGTGACGAAGGCTCCAGGGAAGTGCCTCTGTAAATTTCGCAATTTCTACTCTCGGAGCGTTACGGAACGGCCAAACAATTACAGAGTCCGAGTATATATATATAATATAATTGCGATAACAATGCACTGCGGCAATTAACTCGGGCGTTTCCCCTGGAAGGGAGGAAAAAATCTCGATCGAGAGCGCGCTTTCCTCGAACGCGACAATTCATCCCGAACGACGGGACGCCGTCAATCACATTCCCACATACGTATTTTACGAATATCGTTAAAGCCAGTCGCGTATGTTTCCTGAGATTAAGTGCCCTCGTAAAACACAGGGAATTCTGTACTTTTTGCGGGTGTGCTCTACGTGTAAGTGCTGCTGCGACCTCGGGCAGATGCTATAGAGGTAATGTTCGATGGAAAATTTAACGCGACCAAAGATACCGCTCGTCGTAGTACTTATGCCCGACTGCGGCAAATAATTTACCTTGTCATGAAACCAAACACGAGAGGATCGTGATGCGCGTTCATTTTAGCAAACTAATATTTTATTTTAAGCGTTAACGATCGGACAGACTTCAATCAAGAAAGGGCTCGCAAAGTTCACCCGATTAATTTCTCCGGCGAGAAGAAAAAGAAGAGACAATTAGTCCTCTTGTGAACGTTAATCGCTCAATTCTTAAAAATAGACCAGGTGGCAACAATTATTCTCGCCGAGAATACCGCGCCCACAGGTGGCGGAGAAACTTAATTAATCCTCAGCGTCTCTTTTTTTTCGTGGAAAGATAAATGCACCGTCCGTTGTTCGGCTATTTCGACACGGCAAGGCATTTCGTCGCGAATAGCAATCGTCGAACGTTACTTGACATGCAGGGAGCATGTTCGCTGTTAAACAGCCGTAGGGTGATGACAGTCGCATGATCACGTCACAATACAAGGTAGCGTTAACAACAGAAGCGTACATGAGTTTTTTGACTTCGTAGGCGAGATGGTAGCCAGCGTATGCGGACTCCTCTTGCGATCTGGAATCAGAAGGTTTGCGTAACGTTGGATCTGTTCTCAGGTAACTCTTTTCTTTTTCTGATTTGGCCCACGATGAAAGAAAGAGTGAAAATGAGTGAGAGAGAGAGAGAAAGAGACATGACGGCAGTGATGGGTGATTCCTCGGCGATTAAACTATCACGACATTGCAATCCGACCTTCCGTTATTTCTCGAGGGAGATATTTCGCGACTCGCTAGATACTACATCGCCGAATGTACTTCGCGCTAACAATATTCCCGTCTCGCCGCGCGCAACCGAAAGCGCGAACCACGATGTGCTCGTTCGGCAAAAAAAGATCGAACCTCCGATCTTGGAATAATAGCGGAAACTGCAGAAACTAATCTAGCGGGCGTGTAACAGGTTCATCGGAAAATGTCAACGACCACCTGTAGCCTGTTACTCGCAACGTCCGATAACGTAGTGGTACGAGTGGCTATCGTTCTCGATTTCTCTCGTGATTTATGCGAATCGTTTGTCGTTCAAATTTGCGGCGCCCTTTGTCAGCAGTTGAGTGAAACGATAGGAAGCGCCGATTTTTTTTTCTTTATCGCCGTTGTTTCCTACGAGATTGCAGCTAACGTAACACCTTGTCGCACGATATTCGACGGAAAAATACGGAAAAACATCTTAGACATTTTTGACAGAGACCAAATGAATAACACTGCGAAAATGGACGGACTCGATAAATATTATATTAATTTTCGCACGTATGATTCGCACGAAAGACGGATTCTCTTCTGGTAGAAATAGCGGAGACCATGAAATAAACGTGAAGTTTTGCCCGTAATAACTGCAACGTTTGTGACAACAGAAGGTAAATGCAGTGAATCTCGAATGCTACGGCACATAATTTTTGTCGTGAACACCGATATCGTTATAATGTACTGCCAAGCATACGATAATAATTATCAGCATTCAAAATAATGATATGGAATAAAGAATACGAAATAGAGAGAGAAAACAGATTGCACGTTAAGATACAACGATTTTGAATACGTAAAATCCAATAAAATTAATTAAAGAGAAATTTAAAAGAAAATATTAATGCATACAAGGCGTTACATCAATATTATAGCTCATTACGACGAGTTGCCTAAACAGTAAAGAACATTTTGTACTTGAGTTAAAATCGATCCTTGTTAAAAAACTTTTGTGTTAAATTTTTAACATTTCTGTGTGTTAATTTAACATATTGTGTTTATGTTATCCCAACATTTTATCTTGTGTGATATTTAACATATATATATACGGATATATAACGGATTTCTCAGTATATAACGGATTTCTCAGTATAATGTTAAAATAATACATTTTATACCTCAGTGTCGATTGACGTATTATTTTTATGTGAATTTTTGATGTAATATTTGCATTACTTTCCTCAGTATATATATATATATATATATATATGTATATATAAATATATAAATATAATACGTCAATATATAAATATATAAAAGTATATAAAAATCAGTATATAAAAATAATACGTCAATCGACACTGAGGTATAAAATGTATTATTTTAACATTATACTGAGAAATCCGTTTAGCTGATTCAAACAAAATGCTTGGATATGGGGAAACAAATATTTTAGTTGTGAGAACCAAAGTTTAGTTCTCTGAAACGAAAATGAAGGTTTAGTTCAAAGAACGAAATTTCAGTCCTCACAATCAAAACATTTGTTTGCCCATATTCAAACAAGCATTTTGTTTGAATCAACTAAATGGATTTTTCAGCGTAAATATTAAAATAACACATTTTACACTTCAGTCTCAATTAATATATTAATTTTGTATGAATTTGTCACATAATATTTGTGTTACGTTTCACTTTGTGTTAAATTAACGTAGAAATTTGAGTGGACCGTTTGAGATATATGAAATATATTAAATTTGGCATAAAATTGTTTACTGTAGCCATTTCATGGACTCATTAAGCATTGGCAGCATACTCGCTTGCGCAATTTTTTTCCAACAAAAATAACGTTTACACCTACTGAATCTGTGCACACACCTATCAGCGAGCAACTCGTCGTAATGATCTGTATGTTGGTGCAACATTCTGTATATTGAAGGAAAATTAATGTTTCGATAAAATAACATTTTTTAAATACATATTTCGTGGGAGCTTTCTTTTCGAAATTACAGCCTCTGTGATTTCGTTTTCGCAATGTATGCAAATGTGAGAATTATGCTCGATCGTGGATGAATGATTCTGGATCGCATCGAAGATCTCTACCGAGAATCAGTACGTTAAATCTTTGCGGGTTATATGGATACAACACTTTTAGAAACATGCTAATTCGAAAAGAAAAAAAAACGAATGCAGAGGTTGTCGATACACATTAATGTGCAGATAGATCGTCATATAGTGCACTCGATCGAAATAGGACGTTGTTTTATATTAATGGATTAATATCGTATAGCTGAGTGGTATACACGCATTTACAAAAGAAAAGTTCAAGACTGCGTTTACTCTGTGATGTTACGGTCATATAATCAGGTTATTCAAAAATATGTTGCGCCGATTCATCAATCAGAAAGCGTCGTGCAACACATCGACGTGTGTAAATTGGATTGTTCCTTAGAAAGATGGCCTGACGAAATTCTTACGTTTTGTTCTCTCAGAGAAAATGTGAATTTCACTTACGATTTGAATAACCCCTGAACATAGTACGCGAAAGAAAGAGAGTCTGTGATACTCTAATCGTGCAGCTATAAAGAATACACATGTAAGCTTGTATATATAATTATTTTTGTATTTCAAATACAAAAACATTGTATACGACAGGATAGAGAGAGAGAGAGAGAGAGAGAGAGAGAGNAGAGCATACTTGAGATAGATATTTACGTTCAAGCGATTCAAGAAAGCAGTTCACTTGTTCATAGTGTGTCGGTATTACATGTCGAGTGCACTGTAAGTCTCTCTCGCTATGAAGTGGCTACAAACACGAGGAAGGCAGAGAAAAGAATCGGAAAATCCGGATGCCGTTTTTGCTTTTTCGTTCATTTTGCTTTCTTTCCGTTTTCTTTTTCTAACGGCGGTTTTCTTTTCCTCTTCCTGTAATTCTCAGTAGTGAAATTCGCACGTGTCGATCGGGTGCAAAACAGGCGTGTCATCGAATTACCCGGTGGGTCAATGAAGATCGCGCATGAAGATGTATTCCTTCTCACGATGTGAATGATGATATTTGGATGCGTACATGTCGGGTGACGAGGGCGGAATTAGAATGCGCGGCATAATTAGGTACCTCTGATTATAAGGCTGATTCGGGCTGGACAGGCTGTCGTTTGTCGCTCGGTTCACGTTCGGCTTCACCTTGTTGACTTGCTTCGTCGAATTCATCATGGTCATCCCAACGGAGTTCCGATGATTTCTCATGGCTGTAACACAAGGACGCGGTCTCGCTGCGGTAATATCGACGATGATCGCTAAAATACGCTAGTAACGTCGCGTACCGAACCAGATGATTAACATTATTAGCATGCAATTCTTCAACAAATATGTTACGCTGTAATTTTTAACCCCCCCCCCCCTGTCCTTCGTTACAAAGTATAAGCCCCTTTTAAATATTAAGTGGCATATGGAATTATCCTTCACCCTCGCCGGTACGTAGAATAAAAAAAAAGTTTATTACCATATTGTACGATAATTTATAATTATATTGAATACTAATTATCAGACTATTATTTTTTTTCTAAAATAAAAATAATCCTTAGGCATATAATATAAAATTAATTACTTTATTTTATAATTTTGATTAGCGAGAGTTGCTTTCTTAGAAGAATAAATATTTATGCTTTATGATTAAAAATTGATGCTTTGATCGTTAACGCAAAACCATGTCAAAATTTAAAAATGTTCAGCAAATATAATCAAATGTGTCAAGAATGCGCATAAAGTGGATAATCTCATGCATCCTTATTTACAAATTATGCCATCTAATGTGACTGTAATTGTTGAATTGCGAAAGTCTTTTTACATATTATAATGTCTGTTTTAAAAACATGCGTCCTTGTACATTGCCTGTTAAACGGTTTGTCAATGTAATGGACCGCGCAAGTGATACTTACCATTCGGGTCATCTCGTTCGCGGCTGATCTCACCTAAAATGGATAGAACAGCGTTAATTCGTATTTGAGCATCCTATTTGCCGTCGGTAATGGGCAAAGCAACAATGATTAAGACGATTAGAGTGTCACACCGATTGTGACTTAACTTCCCTCGTTACAGAGCGTATTATTCCCGTAATGATGAGCCTACAGCCCCATGCTTACAGGCGCGCATACCTCACCCTATACGTGTGCTTCACGTGTGCCGAACGATTAGCAGTTAGTGACAGCAATCGAATCTTTCAATTACGGAGCTTTGGCGCGCGGATGAAAATCTTTTTATTTCGGTGAAATAAGTATAGAGAGGGGAAGATTATAAATCGACTTTATTTATTTCCTATTGTGATTTTTCTATAAATTATGTAATTTTCCACGAAAAGCAACGTACTTCTTGCAAAGAAATCGCTTCGAAATTTTGCTATTCCATCGCAGAATATAAATGTTCAACATTTTTCAAATATATATTTTTATAAAATGTAGTAGTAATTTCAGGTAAAGATTTGTACACAATTTTACTGTGACATGGTGTTCATGGTGTATTTACTAATTGAAAAAATATCGATCCCTCAAAACTGGCTCATCCACAGAAATGGGCATAATAATTTGCAAAATGAGTTATATTTTTACTCATTATTTCGTACCGTATATATCTCGATATTTTCTCTGAAATGCAGAGAGAAAGGACCTGCGCAAAAGCTGAGTAATTAAACGTAGCTTCAGGAGTAATTGCCAGCCATTACGGCACGATAAAAATGTACGGGAATAACATATGGCGCGCCTGTCGCGGTAGCTTCTTGAACAACCATTTTCTGCGATGACGGAAACGAAATTATAAAGTGGGTAATATACACATATATTTGCCAGATATTGCTAAAACCAAAAACTTTCATATTAGGAACAATTAATCTACCGTGCTGGCTACAAATACTATAAAACCGTCCTCACAAAAGTGAAAGATACTATCGATCTCAAAAGCGCATTTCACAAAATCAACGACTCAATCGTAGAACAGGCGCATTCTAAACGTTTGAGACGAAAACTTCTATTTACGATACAGAGAAGTCAAGGGGAGAAATTAATTCATCGAATGTATTCGAGCTAAAATAACGTTTCTCAAACTTGTTTGGTGGCTATGAAGATGTTTTGCGACTCGAGGTAATATCAAATGTCAAATATCTCTTGAAGTAAACTGACTAGGATAAAATCGGGATTGATTTTCGCGTAGAATGTACACGAAAGTATGAGAAACGCTTGTGCAATTAAAAACGAGATTTACTACTTACGCAGACGAGCACCAATAAACATTTCGCACATTTTAATTACTCAAATTTAGCCTCGCGACTTTATATTTTTAACGACTTATCTTAACACCGTTAACTATTACATTTAATATTCCCGTTATGATTCCTCTGAAACTATTTGCCGAAAGGGTCGGTTTATAGCAAAAACGGAATGTTGCGTAACAATTATTAATTATAAAATCACAATATAGATATTTTATGAAATATTGCCTGTTCATTTACTTTTTCGTATATTTTAATTATCAACGCCTTTAAAAACGATACGTAAATCTACGCGAAAAGGAAGCTGTAACTTATTCATAAACCAAGAAGTAAAAATTAATCACTACACTTTGTTCATTAAAATCCGATCGTAGCAAAAGATATTAAACGCTTTAAAGATCTACGAGCGAAAGAATGAGAGAACGGCGGAAAATAAGGTCTTTGAGACTACCGAATACAACTATACTAAAACTGTGTTCTGTGCAATCATCTATCGTTTCAGCGATTTTGGAGATACGAAACATAATGGCGACTCATCTCTCATAAATCGTAACAGCTGGAAAAGAACACAATCCGAAACAAATTGCTATTAGAGTATAACGTGACGTAAATTATTGCAAATCAAAAGTGCACGCTACACGTGGTGAACGGAAACTGAAACAACGGAAAAGTATGAACAGGTAACGTTCATTGAATCTATTGCGACAGCTGCATGCACCCGTCAATCATAATGGAGAAAGTAGTACGCGCGATAGTAACACACGAACATGTGTGTTAAATTAAAAACGTTGCAACATTGCAACACTTGATTATTAATTTTCCCCACTTTCTCCAATGTTCTCTCTCTGGGAATCAGCGTGTGTCTTAGCTATTTATTGAAAGAAAAAGAAGAAGAAGAACAAAAGAAAGAGAGAGAAAGAGAATGAAAAAAAAAAACTGTATTCGCTATCACTGGATAGAACAAAACGTGTCAAGAACCAATCGCTCAAGCGTGCTCGTCGAAGCGAATAAAATGCGGAAGATCAAATTTCCGGTGTCAATCGTGAGCAACGATTCTCTTTAAGCACGTCGTTCCTTTCAACTATTTCGGCTTGAACAAACGACTTTTCGCCAGCGTGTGACCGTATCGTAATTTGCCGATCGAAATTAGAGAGGGCAGCTTGCGAGACTGTAGCATGGTTTTTGATTGAGGTGTGACTGTACCTCTTACGTGAACCATCTTGGGCAGTTCTGGCGGAGTGAATGTGGGGGGAGGATGGTGGTCGTCTGTAACAAACCACTACACATGTTAGCTACCCTAACTAATTACCTAAGGCCTAGTCGCTACTCTATCGTTGGACAATACTAAATCTGCGATTTAATGGCTTGAAAGCGAAGTTCCGTTTCAGCGTCGCGTAATAATTAATTGATTGCAAAAATTAGGATTTTCTTTCACTGTTATTAATCTCTAATATCGAGAAGAAAAGAACAGAAATAATCTGTGTGCTTACCTTGAGCTACGATCTAGAATGATAACGAAATATAAGAAGATTCAAATTTGATGGGTCATCGTGTTAGCCGTTGATTAAATTTACTTTTATACGGTTGAATGTACATTAAAGAGATCGAATATATATATATAACGATTATTGAATATGACAATTAAATATGAAGGTAACGTTTACGATATCAAGCTGAAACGGTCTTTCATTAATTCTAATAAGGTACTGTTTATGACCACTAAAATTGCGGACAAGTGTGTGTGTGTAATTTTGAAACTCTAACAATTAAAATATAGAGCCCGTAACAACGTGGACGTAATGTGCGAATATAATAAGAGATAAATAAGTAGAGAAAGAGAGAAAAAAGAGAGAGAGAGAGAGAGAGAGTGAGAGAAAGAGAGAGAAATTCTATAAGAGTCTGAACATATTAAGAAACGACTTCCGTCCACGTTGCGGGAACATTAAAAGATATGGTGCTAAAATCGATTTACGATCATAAACGTGCAAGTGTGCCCAAACCATTCCTAATTCATGCCGAGGATGACGCAAGTGGAGAAGGTGAAACCGAAGGAGGCTTATTATTTCCGATGAACGCGCAAAAGCGTGGCGGCAACACGCGTCGTCGCTTCCACTTGCGTCACACATAGTGTTAACGTCGTATCCTAAGCATGCAAAAAAAAGGGAAAGAAAAAGAGACAGTATGAATCTTACACAGTGAATATTTATTCGGAACTGTTAGTGCGCGCGATTTGCATCCTCTAAGTAGGGGGGGGGGGGATTCACGTGCAAAACGACAAATACGTGCGAAAGCTCGGGGGAGAAATCGAAAGAGAGTGTACATGAAAGATCGTAGAGCTATTCTATACTAAAAGCGCAGGGGGGAGGAAGTATTTTTATTGGGGAAAATTCGCACGTATCCGCGGGAACTCGCCGTCTGCGAGCGAACGAAACGAGAGATGCGCGACTTGTGTCTGCTTGCGAGTGACGTCGTCGAGACCGACGGTGGAGTATGAGCGACGAGTAGGAGAGGCGCGCGTGTGAAGCCGCCCTTTACGCATTTACTCGAGACTCGAAACAGCGCTACGTTAATTATTTTTATATTATTATTAAGTTAGATAGATAGAGAGAGAGAGAGAGAGAGAGAGAGAGAGAGAGAGAGAGAGAGAGAGAGAGAGAGAGCATGGAATAAAATATTCAGAAGCTAAATTAGCTGTAACATGTGGACACTTAAAACTTTAACAGTGTAAGCAATTTTAATTGCTGCAGTACACGGAAAAAAGTTTGGTTGAATTTACCAGACAACGAATAAACCAAATGCGGTTTGGTTGAAAGAGACAGAATTTCTGATCATAAGAACTAAATTTTGATCATAAGAACCAGAAATTTTGTTTCTTTCAACTGAAACGTGTTTGATTTGTTCATTCTGTCTAGTAAATTTAACCAAACTATTTTTTCATGTAATAAACTGTTTTGCTGCTACGGCAAACGTATTATCGTAAATGATAAGTTGCTTCCGCTGCTAAAGTTTGGGATGCCCATATGGTTACAACTAATTTAGCTACTGCAGCTAATCTTTCCTGTGGTGATATTCCTACAACTTTCGTAAAAATCTCTTTCAAGTCTCTTTGTGCACAGTAACGATTTATTCCTTAAACCGACGTGCAACTGACTTTAATACGAGCTCTCTCCGCGAGCTCGGCCCGATATTGACGTGCCCGTAATGCATTTTTCGTTGTGAATCCCGAGAATACTACGAGAATTTCTCCGTCACGATACTCCGCAGTTCCCGCGCACGAGATCGAATGCAATAGGTCTCGTCCCGCAGCTCGATTCGTTTCCTTCTGAGGTCAAGCGAGTCGGAAAATCGGTGGATCGATCAAGCGGCTTGTGTCGAGTAAATGTGCAAAAGGTGGTACGCTTCATCGGCGGTTGCGGCGGTGATGACAGCGTGATGCACCGTGAAACTGACTGATGAACGTCCCCGCTCGCGTTACATCGGGTCGGGCTTCTACTACGCGGCTTGCAACGCGTGCGTGCGTCGCGCCTAAATCTAAAGTCGCGTATTCTCGCGTGAGAGTCTCGCGGCCGGTGAATACGTGAGCGACAATTAATTATGTATATATATACGTATATACACAAGGAGGTAATGCATAAACGTGTTATATATATATATATA